TTGTTTTTTTCTTCTTGACATTTTTCTTTTTTGGGAGTGAACCCCAGAAAAAAAAAAGAAAAGAAAAAAGAAAAAAAAGGACCAGCCCTAGAAAACCTCCCTTGACGGGATAGGGGATTTATTCTTCTTCGACGACCTAAATCGTGGTTATCAGCCAGCTATCAGCACTTTTCTTCTTTTCGGTGATCCAACTCGCTCTACAGCCAACTACATCATGTATTCGTGCGCCAATTATCCTCGCGGTTGCCGTGGCCGCGTTAATATCCAAGGAGGAAAATGCGCCGATTGTGTGGTATGTCATTCGCTTCCAGATCTCCCATTTAGACTCTCCGATCAGCATCTGAGATTGATTAATTCCCATGCAAACCTCCGAAATGACGCTAACTCCTGGCTTCATCTAGCAACTGAAACTCCGTCGACCATCATCTACGTCCCCCTTTGCCCAGCCACGAGATTACCGGAGAGCGTTGCCTTCGGAGATCTTGAATGACTCCCCTTACAGGGCGATCGCTCGGGAACTGCTGTAAACCTGCGATACCGTTTCTCAACCGAGATGGCACGAAAGACCTCCAGGACTCCGACCGGATATCCAGGATCCTGCAGGTTGGGACTGAGTCCCAGGGACCTTTCACGCCAGTCTCAATCACGGCACCTCTCTTTCCTTAACCTATTCAATTATGCTCTGACTTGATGCATTGTTGGGAGTTGATCGATCATCGGATTCTTATACCATATACAAGGGCGGCTTTCTCGATTTTACTGGACCGGGCGGTTCAGCACTGCGATTATCTTTATTCATCTCTCTTATTTTCTTTTGTGTATATGCGAGACAAACTGGGTACGGCATGGGTGATTTCCCTAATCAGCTGCTGGGAATGGCGATTTGGAAGTTTCTATAAAACTCATACGCCGTGGAAATAGAGCGCACAGCCATGAATCTGCTGCTGGCTGGCGGGTGGTGGCGCAGATGGATATCATTTTTCTCTCCTTTAATATCTGCTTTACTTTCTGTTCAGATATTTCACTTTCGTGTGTCTTGTGATGTGTACTCATTTTTTTAATATTGGTCGATTTTCATACCCTCTCGACTGTACGATTTACTGACAATCATACATTTACTATTATTTTTTCTTATATGACTGAATGTTTCGTGTTGTCATTTCCTTCCGATATTCTTGACCTTAGGGCTTAATATAAATGCTTCATGTCATGTGCCCGGTTACTCAGCATCTCTTCGCAGACCCAACGCGCCGTTTGCATGTGAAGACTCCAATATCGTTCATCCTCATTCCCACGGCTGCCGTCATCGTTCGGTTGTGATGTCGATTTTCCCAGTGCCTCAAACACCGCCAATTGATCTCTTAAATACCTATCCACACAAGGGGGATGCTGCTCTCTATTCACGGGGGTAGAACCTTGCCGCAGGCGAGGATCATACAATTCCTCTAAGAATCCGTCTACGCATCGCTCCACCAAATCTTTCACCACCATTTCCACCTCCTCCGGACCGTTCCGTTGCTTATGTCGCGCTCGTCGCGCACCGGGACCACCGTTGACACCAAAGAGCGCATCGTGTCCCACCCTGAACCCCGTCGATGTGTGTGCTACAATAAGTATGTATACGTGCGAGTAATGATGTGTGACCTCAGTCGTATGAATGTTGACAGGAATATCGTTGCTGCCACTCTCTGTGTGAGGATGCCCGACAGCGGCACTGGAGGACGATGTTCTGGAGGTGAAAATGCACGACGGTAATTTCCTCAACCCCTTGCGGAGGCTCCGGAAGATTTCGAGTTCGACAAATTGGCGAATTGTTCGAGTGACGTTCGGTGAATCATCGTTGTTTCCTTCAGCCCTTGGCCTATGTCTCCGAAATTGCGTCCCACCAGGTCTTTGATTTCTTCCATTGCCGTGGGCGCCCCTGCCTGTACTCTTAGGGAACGGGTCGTCGGGGGCCAAAATGGTAATTTCAACGTGACTGATTGTCCCTCGCTGATATCGAGAAAGGTCTATGGGCGGAAACCGAGGGCTCGACCCGGCTCTATTGCCATCTTCGCACAACGTGAGCGGATCCGCAACAAGAGTCACCTTTCCCAAGCTAAACGGGCCCGTCCCCCATCCCCGTTTGATTAGCTGCACTGAAAGGCGAGGCAATCCCACTCTGGCGAAATTAGGCACTAAAACCTGCGCCACGTAATCGTATGACGGCGAGAACGACACATTGGTCCCACCGACAATGGATAAAGTAATCTGGCGCTCGGGGACGGAAGAATTGGCTCCCGCGTGCAGCATATAAGGATATAGTGCTTGGAACACTAGAAACACCGAACCTGCTGTTTTGAGTGCAATGTTGATATGTGATTCGATCGCTCCTCCCCGCTCATGGTCTCGATCTCTTGGCATCTGGACTACTTGTGGATAGAAGCTCAACGATGTCGATCCTAGCTCTGCCCCCACGACAGAACTTCTGCTCACACATGCGAGGTATGTGATCGCGGCAAGATGTGAGCCCTTGAGCCCTTGCTTCCCTGATCGGTTGCCTCGAATATGGTCAATTTTGACGGGCCGGCCTGTCAACGCCGAAAGGGCGACGGCAATTCGCACAAGTTGGCCTCCCCCTTCGAGGGTCCTTCCATCCAGATGGATGGCTTGCCCTTTAGGATTCATACCATCCGACTGATCCATAATGGTGTGGCCTCAACGCTGACTGGCCTCCTGCTGTGTGACGTCGAATGGGGAAAAAAAAGTTCTGCTGCGTATAGGTACTGGAACGTCGAGCGCTATATTTAATATCAAAAGGCGCGTGTTTAAGGCCTCCATTGTGTGGGATTTGTACTACTACCTCTTCGTATTGGAATGCGTCAGTGTGACATGGCCTATACGATCGGAGTAGAGCCGTGACTCACAGCCACAGCCACCCTCTTAGCCGAGCTATCGTTCATTATCTCGGACCAGAGCCCCCGACTAGCTTATTAACCAATATAACCAAAATAGGCAATCTCAGGTTGGATAGAACCTGACTAAATTTATCTATTAAGACAACTTCCACCCTAGCCTCAGATGAGGAAGCGACGTTGATGGCTGTGACTTTGCAAGACGACATGCAGTCTATCATCGCACTTTCCTCCGATCCTAGCTGCCATGGGTTCTTCACCATGGGTATCTCTCGTTCATCTCGAGAGACTTTTCTAGACCGCACTTTATCCATCTGGGCAGTATCTATTCTCAAAGTACCACTTCAATCGCTCTGTATCCGTACATACGTGCTTTTGCTGTCATGTGTCCCGCAATGTCTCTCAATGCTAGCGATCGTCTGAGGAGATCTAGATCAACTCGTTCCATCAGAAGGAGCCACCAAATGTCAGTGTCTAATGAGCCATTTGATCCAGAAATCGCCAAACAACACGCAACCGTTGCGGCATCTCTGGCCATGCGCCGATCTACAGAGCGGTCTTCTACGGACTCTCAACGCTCTTACGATCGTTTGGGTGGCCCTGGTAGCATGGCGGTACCACAGAGAAGACACAGACCAAGCGGCGACAGTGAAATCTCTGACACTGATTTGGCTGCTACTCTGACACTGTCCAAGCCTTCAGCCGTGAACGACTCAGAAGACAATAGCAATTCTCAGCTTTCGCCCGCCGCGCTACCGCCAATTCATGAATTCGGCGGTCTAGATGGCCGCAATTCTTCTCTACCTTCTTCATACCGCCGCCTGCGCAAGTCGCGGTCAATGTTTACAGGCGGACAACGGTATTCTCGCATGTCTTGTGGAGCACCTTCTCGGTTGTATGATTATGCGAGTTTTGACAAAGCACAAGTACCTGAGGCGCCAAACCCAGGCGGGGCCTTGAAACGTTCGCTTTCCTTCCTCCGGGGTAGCCATGCATCTGTCTCTCCAATACACCATATGAGGAGCCATGATGCAGCAATTCAGCTAGCCCGTAGCCAGTTCCTGAAAAGCTCGGTGGATGGCACCGACCAGTGCAGAACATCCTCCATCCGCAGACCCAAACGAGAGCATAAACCATTCAGAAAAAGCTTTCGAAGTAATAGCGGTGATAGCGCTTCCGGCCTGGATGTATCTAGTACCCAATCTTCGGTGGACTCCTCTAGACATGCCATACCACAAGGGAAAACGCGTTCATTATCTTCATCTATTAAACGGGGTATCAAGAAGGTCCTCGGGCTATCAAAACCTGTTGCAGATAATAGCCAAGTACAGGCGCCACCCGTTGGCCAGGCACAGAATCAGGTGCTTTCGTCAACACCCAAGGATGACGATTATCCAGCTGGGAATGATCGGAATTCGATTTGTGCCGATAGGCTCACTGGATACGATCGTTCTCAGACAGTCCGAAGTACCCATAGTTCGGAGAGTCTCGCAACCAGCCGCTCGCGTGTTACAAGCTGGGCTGATTCAACCGTAGCAAATACTATCGTAACGCGCAAAACAGGCGAACAAAGCCATCTGTCTATCATTGATGAAAAAGGCGATTCGGGACCAAATCTTTCGGTACTCACCCCAAGCAACTCTCCTAGACAGGCGTTTTCATCCTCTCCGGAACCAGCCATGCCGGAACATTCCGTTGATAGCCAACGCCTGTATGCTGCACTGATGAAGCGGATTGGGCAGAACCATGCACAGGATACAAAAGAAGAAATCTTCCTCGGTCAAGTCCGGGAAAATCGTGCTATTCCGACACGTGCATCTTCCCTATACCCTCGCAGTAGCAGGCAGACAATTCGTCGTGTTGCCAGCAACGAATCGTTTACGACCCCAAGGTCATATACAACAGCCCCTGGTGGCACAATAACTCCCCAGAAACGCTTGACAATGCTCGGGAGCCAAAATGCCCTAGATGGCGATACTCGAAGCATAAACGCTCCTGAGTCTCCGACTTTGGATACATCTGATTCTCCTAGCATCTACTCACGTACCACCAGTGGCAATTCCCCGTCCACAAAACAGCATAATAATGAGCCACGCTTGTCTGAGACGGCAGATGAACCAGGGGTAGCTACAATCTTCGAAAGTCAGCGGTCAGCATACAGATCCCCTAAGCGGACCCCTGGTCTCCCGGAACCCCAAATTCACCCACGGCCAAGCGCTGATTGGCAGCAATGGATGCAGTCTCAAATGGCGAGGATCGAAAACCTCACACCGACAAAGGAGCACTATAAAGAAGACGCGCAAATATATGACGATGAGGCTAACATGCAGCGGCAGTGTTTATCCCGAGGGGGTGACAACGACATCTCGGCGAGTCGACAGGATGATTCGGATCATGATCAACTTTTCGCGAGTAGAGAACCAATGACAACTTGCAAGGTTTGGACCGGAAGTAATTTCTCTAGACCTTTCAGTCGGTCTCCAAGTGTACGCACGGTGGTGACCGCCTCGAAAGAGCAAGGACTGACTACTGCTCCTCCGTTTTCGATTCATACGTCAGTATCCCCTAGCAGTGATGGATCGTCTTTCACTGTTGGCCGGATCCGCGCACGGCTTGACCAGCATGCATCGTTACCCATGCAGTCAAGGCCAATTAATAGGCCCCGGATAGCAGAATCCCCCACGCCTAAGAGAGAAGCTAGAGAGCTATCACGACGATTGGCCCTGAACGGCAAGTATGGTGAATCTTCCGTCAAATGGTACCAAGCCCAAGATACAGGGCCCGTGCCTTTTCGACTTAGCCGTCATCGCGATAGCACCAGATTTAACGATGAGAACATACGGGCCGATACCCGACATGGCAACGTCAACGAGCAATATCCATTGTCTCAAGACACCTGCTCGCTCATGTCAAGCAAACGCATGGTGGAACTGTTTCTTAGCAGTCGACGTCGACAAATGGGCATGGGGATGTCAGACGATAGTGCTCCGGATGGAGCCTTTCTCTAGATAGGCATCGTTGAAGGACAGAAGATGTTGACTGTGGTAGCTTACCTATATGGCTTTCCATCCCTTGAGCTGTTCTGGGATATGCACCTAGCATGAAGATGTTATTCCTGTAGTTATTAGAATATCGCGGGTACATTCACTGTTAGTAGTTAGCTTATATCTCTAATGAAAGGTCTGATCCTTCAAGGTGCAGGCCAGTTGATGAGAAAGGGCATGTCCTTTCCTATAGAATCATTCGTCTCATGTCTCATTATGAAGTGAGATCCCTAATATACTTCGAGTACATACCCTTTTACAACCACGTAGCTAGCCGAAGATAATTACAAACCAAGAGCACTTGCTCCAAATCCCTATGGAAATCACACAGTTCCAATTCAATTATCTTTTTTATCTTGTAAATTCCGAATATATTAAATTAATGAAAAAGATTCTCACTGCACGTAATTAGCCGGGAAACTCCCCTTTAACCCCCGAAGCTCTCCCTCCCACCAATCATCCGTACTGTCTGTCTTCTTCAGAACCCGAATCCGATCTCCCTCCCGAAAGGCAAGATCGCCGGCACTCTGCCCACCGAAATCATACAGAGCCGTCACGAACAACCCCTGATTGGAACCGATCCGTTTCGGAGGTGGCGGCGGGGGCTTCTTCTTTGCGGCCGCAAGCACACTATATCCCGGCGATGTGGCCGTGCTGTCGGAGGTATGCTGGCTTCGACTGAAGTAGTCTGTTCGGGCCGAGGCGTAGGATTCGGCTGGGGAGGAAGCTGAGGCTGAAGCGGGGGTTTGCGGGGAGAGATGGGTTGTTGGGACGGTGAGAGTTGAGGATGGGGACGAAGCGAGACTGTTAAGACGGGGTTTGGTTTCCATTACTGGGGTTGGCTTTGTGTCGTGCACAGATGGGGCGGAGAGTCTGCGGCCTGAGGAGGTTGGGGGTTGGAGACTTGGTGTAGAAGAAGATGTAGATGTAGGGCCGACAGTGGAGGCGTTGCTGCTTGAGGGCCGACGGAAGTTGAGGCTGTTTGGGAGACGGCTGCTGAGTCCATTCCGTTGGTCGTCGGGTGATCCTGGGGATAGACGCACTGCCTTTCCGTTGGCGATACAGCCTAGGGATTCAACCTCTTGTTGTGTGGGGTGGAGGGCCTGTTCCCAGTCTTGGATTATTTGTTCCATTGGTGGGGAGGGAGAGGGGAAGTGCTCCTGTTCGCAGTAGTTCTGGACCACTGTGTAGTAGTGTGCTAGCATGGTATTTTGGATCTCGATTTGCGCGGCTAGGAGTCTGGGAAGCAGTGAGAATGCAGCAGTTATGAGTGGCGGTAGGCATTTTCGGAGGTGGTCGTCTGCGGCTTGGTATTCCTGGGTTTTGGATTAGTATGTGATGCGTGTTTACTTTGAAAGTATGTTGGCCATCGTATGTATATACCTCTGTTGCTCTTGCGAGATCGGTTTCGGCTTTGGTCAGCGATGCGTTGTCTCGGTCCGATCGCTTTGTCTTTTTCGAGTAGCTGTCGACGCGACTTTGGTAACGCTCGTAATCTAACTGCGAGGATATTAGTTGAAGCTACGTTTGATTGGACGAGATATGTGCCTTACCTTTCGGTCATCTCGCTTTTTGATTGTCTTTTCCAACGGCTTCATGTAGTCCATAGCCTGCGTGGCGGGCTTAATCATACGCTCGTTGATGGCCTCGAGCTCCTGCAGGAGTTCATCCCGTAGCTCTTCATATTCTTGAGCTAGATTAGCGGTGCGGGCCAATGTTTCCGGGGGCGTTTGGACGGCCTTTTCGGTTGTGGAGGAGTCGGAGGAGCCAATGATGGGCGCATATAATCCTTCTAATTCACTGAGAATGCGCGCCTGGTAACTGAGTAAAGAAGACCAAGCATCTCGCCAGGCTTTAGTAGAATCGACAATCTGTCGATCGAGCGGTTAGCGGCGGGCACAATATGCGATTGGGTTGCAATTGGTGGAGTAGTTAACAGATCAAGCTTACTCGGCCTAATAATTTATTTGCTTCATCGAAATCTTTCAAGAGAATGGCCACCTGAGTGTCGTCGGCGGATCTTTTCATCAATTTACCAAAATGTCTTTGTACGGATAGCATTGTGTTTTTGCCAGGTTGCTTGAATGCGGGGATGGGGAACAAAGGAGACAGAGTTAGTCTTGGTCCAGATTGCGGGCGAGGGGAGGAGAGACCCGATCAATGTATGTACAATGTAGGGTCTTTGGAACACACGTGGAGGGATAGTAAAAAGAGAGAAGAAGGGACAGGGGGGGAAAAGAGAGAGAGAGAGAGAGAGAGGCAGAGTTAAATGGTGTCAGCAAAGGAAAAAAAGAAGCGTGCAGGTAGGCGATGACGCAGCCACCATCTGATCGTCGTTTCATTTCACAGAATGACTGACAGGCATTTGAATACTGGAGATGAACCCTGTAAGGCCAATCAATGGAGTAGTCTGTCTGTAGATCATCCCTGTCTTTTCATTGCTTAACGTCTTAGACCCTGGGTCTGTGCGGACATTGTACGATCAGTCGATTTATATCACTGGAATTGAATAACGTTGGGTTCCTGAGCTGTCCGTACCTATCGTACCATGGTCTTTCCTTCGACAGGTCTCCTGTATGATGGAGTACCAGTGGAACCAGAGTCAAGTCTGTAACTCCATTAAGGCAGGAATTGGAGACTGCCAAGAAGACCGCCGGCTATAAATAAAACATCTCGAATTGAGAGAAGCTGTGTCATTTTTTCCAGGAAGAAGAGAAAGAGAAAGAGAAAGAGAAAGATACATTCATCACCATTTGAATGCCTGTCTCTAGGGGAGGCAAAGTAGTGTACGGAGTAGTTCAGATGAGTATGTGTAGGTGTAAAGGTAAACTGTCGGCATGCAATAATACCATACGCGTATGATTGATACCAAAGTCTAGAACTCCCCCACGATTCTCAGGCACCAGCGAGGTGTTTCCGCCTGAGGCCAACCACGACCGCCTTTCTCACTTGTACTCGTACGGCCAGGCAAATAAATCTCTCTTGCTGTCAACGGAACGAAAGTGCCTGCAACCACATCGACCCCTGCCTCATCCCCGCCCAGCGACCAGATGGTGCTCAGCCAGAGGGTCGCCAACTATTGGCCCTCGTCGCTTCGACCATGTCGACGCCCTTATCCTCTGCCCCGCGTGCTACCCCAGGCATGAGCGTCCCCGCGACCCAGAACACCGCGCCCGTCATCAAGTTTCGATGTCTCTACACCCACGATATGCGCCGCAAAGCCAAACGCTGGCAAGATGGCTACCTCAGATATCACACATTTAACAAACGCATCATGGCCTACGATTTTACGGGTAATTTCATTGGCGACCTACACTGGCGACAGGGGGACGCAATCCAGGATGGGGACGAGCTGGAACTGGATAGAGGAGTGTTGATTCAAGTCTGCGAGCCAATGGAGAAGACGGAGACCGATATTTCCGGCCTCATCAGCAATAGGAAAAGCCAGGGATCCCCATCACGGCCGGAAGAACCGCCGACCCCGTCTTTGCGCACGTCCACTCCTTTACGATCCTCGATCGGCTCTCAGTCGTCTCGCTCCCTCAATGATCTGCTGGGGATCAAGAAGACACCTATCGGACGTTTCGTCTCTCCGTATGAAGAAAGACATCCGCCGGAGCAGAGTACAGATTATGCACAACCACCTGAAAGAGCTGTAAAGAGACAAAGGCTTGCACCGGAGAACGTACTGCGTGCGCATGGTTCAAGTCGGGCCCAACCCGTAACTATTGATTTATCGGAGGAGCCTCCTGCAGTCAAGCCAACAGCTGCAGCTGCTGATACTGAATCAGCAGCGCAACCCAAGAAGACGCCAAGCTCAGTGAGAGCTCCAGCCACAGTATCGTCGGACAAAACACCGACTAGTAGAACTCAGCCCATTCCAAAAATCCAGAACCCCGTCAACGATGCCCCTCCACCTGCGAAAAAGTCCTCGACAGTTCGTGTGGATGCTCCAGTCAACACTCTTAGGTTGTCCACGGAGCGCCCGAGGAGAAAGTTGATGTATAGCGCCTTATTACCTGGTCAAACAGCCGCAAAAGTATCCCTGCCCTCCCCCTTGTCAGAGAAGACAAACGTGCCCGTGCGAGAGAAGCCGCAGTTAGTATGTTCCTCATCTTTCTATCAGCGCTATGGACTGACGGCTCCAGGGAGATCAACCTGACAAGCCCCGATCCTGTGCCAACGAACCCTGATTTTATACCCTCTGCTTCAACGCTTGCTGCGTTAGATGAGATGCCAAGTGAATCCACACGTGGCCCGGACAGGACTGCGACAAACCATGGCGCACAAGGTACTCTACCAAAGTCCGGTTCGACTGGCCTTCGCAAGTCATACTCGGACCCCACTGCTTTAACCACCGCAAATAGTGTCCGACCGCGATCACTACCTTTTAAAAGCCCACTCAATCGTTGTATAGAGGAAGATGAACCCCGTGAGCAAGGGCCCTGGACTTCTGAGGCACTAGACCTTTTCGACTTTTGGCCGCCTGGGCGACCGAAACCTACTTGATTTATGTTTATGATACCCTTCAGATTGTGTATACCATTGAGACCATCACAGATTTTCTCATATCACTAGACGTATGAAACCAGTGTCGTGAGACAACTCGTCTATGGCTTTCGTGAGGAGTTACTATGTTTTTGATACCCTAAATTTGAACTGTAACGTCCCCTTCGGTCTAGCTTCCCGATATCCCGTACTGTAATCACCGCCCGCCTCGTCCTCCCAAATATATAGAACCCTCCTTCGCTGTTCTAAGCTGATAGTATCTGCCCCTTTAACTTCTCTCTTTAAGAAAGTAGCCAGTGTACAATTTATCAATACTGGTGCTAGATCAGGGTCTGTAACACAGGTTCCATAACAAATAGCTGTATATATCGAGGAACTTACTTTTACAAAGCTTAGATCCACATTTATAAGATAGTTAAGTTAAAGAAAGTAAGCTAGTTGTAAGGTATTGAGCTAGAACAATCAATTACAATAGTTAGTATACTTGTTCAGCCAGTAGAACAATTTCAATAGTAAAGATATAATATGCCAGTCTCTGGAACCCAGTTACTGTTTTATTTAGTTAATAAAAATACTATACTCTTGTTATAGTCCGAGCAACTATAGATATACTATTTATTAATTACCGCTTATTCTCTACTCTCGGTTAGATACTCTAGAGTTTGTAAGTTTCTTATCTATTATAGAGTACAATTCAAGTTACCGAAGTGTGTATTCTGTACAGTGCTCTCCGTATCCTCTATAAACAAAGACACTGTTGAGGTGTATTCAAGAACAAAGCGGTATGTGAGGGCTTGATACAACATCCCACTATTTCTACTGGTAGACATCATAGAATCCGGATTTCAAGTTCGCCGAGATTAGGTAAACCGCCCCAAAATATGGTTTACGATAGAAATTCTAGAGCCTAATCTATGACTTGTAGAGGTTCTCAGCCGCACTTTTCTCACGATGATCCGACTGATAAGAAAGAGGTTATATCAGTTCGGCTTAAAAATGGTGAAGTTAAAACTATACAACGGATCCATATCCACCAAGACGGCTCAGTGCGCAAGATGAACTAGGCCCCAGAAGCCAAAAGCTTTGCGCGGACCATCTGTGTAGCGTTTTGAACCAGGTGTTCTATCTCCGTTTTCTGAGGATCAGGTTGTAGGTAGTGCAAAGGACCACGAGTGAACTTCGCAGCATGATGTATCCATCTAAGATCCGGCGAATTTCAGCCACAGTATATACATTTCTGTTACATGAGCTGTTGCGCTAGGGCAATTTCAAACTATGTAGACCTTAGCCAAGGGTCAGATAATAACTCTTTCGCAGTAGGTCGATCTTCTGGTCGCCACTGAAGCATTTTCCGTATGAAACGGAGAAAATTCTCTTGCTGCTCGCCCTCTAAGTTACTTTCAATGTCCGCTAAAGACGTAGGCGGGATTTCAGCAAAGCACTTCCATTTTCCTAGTTTCTACGGGTCAGAAACACAGGCTGAGAAAAAAGAGACAAGAACTTGGTGAGCTTTACCGCTACTATCAAAATACTTATTTGCATATTCACTTTTCTCAAGCATATCGCGTGGCGGTGGCCCCAGATACGCAATCATTTCAGCAAGATGGTGACTATCCGATTCTCTTTTGTTTTCATCCTGAGCGTAGAAAAGATGGCCTTGTTCGAATAGGTCCCAGGCCTGCATAAAGAGTGTTTAGAAGGGGGGGAAATATTGATAATAGATGCAACATCGATAAACATACCACGACTGCAAGGTTCCAAATGTCGATCTTTTCATTCCAGGGCATGCGAAGTAGTACCTCCGGGGCCCGATACATAAATGGCTGTACATCATCGCAATATGTGCCTGACTCGGACCCAAAGCGAGCCTCGCCGAAGTCTGAGAGTACGGGGCGTCCATGTTTTTTTGGAATGCCCAACTTTCGAGAATGATATATTGCTCGATCACCGACCACTTTACGTGGGCTTGGATTTAATATCTCGGCCTTCTCAAAGTCAACAAGAATCGATTCATCTTCAATATTGAGCATAATGTTCTTTTCTTGTATATCTTGTATTATATATCAGCATAGAATATTCCAAATATTGAGAGTGCTAACCGGTATGGATCACGCGCGCCTCGGTATGTAAGAAATCTAGCGCAAGGAGAATATGGATAAGGGTGGGTTTCAGTAGGTTTTCTGGAAAAACCTTTCGTGGACACCGATTCCGAAGCTCACAGAGACTCATGCCTAAGGGTGGGTGAACAAGACATTGGTAGAAGTGGGAGCCATCGGTTGAGCTGAGATGGAATTTATCCAACACAGTTCGCACGAGAACAGTACCAGTGTGGCAGGATTTGAGACTTTTGAGATGTTCGTAAACCTGAATTTCTCGTTCTGCATGAGCAGAGTCACGTTCATATAGTTTCAATGTGGCGTAAACGTGCTCTCTGTACCTATTAGCTCCCATTTGCCCCAGCGATTTGCAATCAAGTATGGAGGGGGCTGACTCTAAATCTCTGCAAAGCCACACTGTTGAATATCCGCCATATCCTAGTTTCCCAACTACTTGATACTTCGACTGAAAGATATCGCCGATCTTGACAGGAAAGAAGTTATCGTGAGAATACCATGCTAGTTTTTCCTCCTCCACCTTGTCCATTGAGTCGAGAAGGGGGCCAGGTGGAAACTGTCGGGCTGGCGATGGAAGTCGCCGGAAAAGGGGAATCCTAAGGGCCCTAAGCATACGTGACATACGTTTCATTGTAACGGGACTCTAGCAAGTCGAGATGGAGTACCAAATTTGAAATGTTGCAAAGGCTGGGTTTAACATGACACCCCAAAGCGTGGTCAATGGTCACATGCTGGGGTTGCCCCAGCGACTAAGCGAAGTTATGGTTGTGGGAGTTGGGAAGGGAAGCACACTGTGTTCCTATTGCGCTACTGTCTAGTTGCATTGCAGCTTATGTGTTTGTGCTTCCTAGGAAGTGCTGCTGTCTAATTGTATTGCCAACCTAGAGAATTGATGCGATAGTGCTTCCCGGGAAGCGCTAATGCCTAGCCGCATAGTTATAGGTTCAGATTAACCAGCTAGCTGATTGAAAGTGCACATTATGCTACAGAAATATAGTACTGAAGTAATCAACAGTATAGTACGAACAGAGACATCTTGCCATCTTTTCCAATATTATGAGAGTGTTATTTGTTCAGGGGATTTCCCCTGCTCTGCGCTTTGGTCTCATTCCTAATGTAACTCGAAGCTTACCTTCAATACGTCATGTGCATGGCTAGGTTTATAAAATGTCAGTCTTGCTGACCGCAATTTTGCACAGACCAATACATCCGTTCAGTATGTCTTCTTTTCTAGAAATCCTTGCTCGGATTAGTATGTCCTACACCCCAAGCCTTCCCAAATCCTGGAGAGCATGCTTTTCCATATCAGCTCTCGAGGCTACTAATATAGTCGTTTCAAAATACTGGGATCCCGTTCACATGACGAAAGTATATCGTCCAACAAATGAGCCAGTACGAGACATTATCGAAGCCGAGAAGAAATATGGGATCTCTTTCTTCAATGGCTACGAGGGCTACAGTATCATAGGTGGTCAGCTTCTCTGCTTTTTGCAGCTCGCCTCCAGCGTTCCTCGAAAAAGATTCATCTCATATCTTGCCCCAGTCGGCAGTTGCTACAAATCAAACTAGATGCTATGAAGGACTGTATAACAAAATGCCAGTGGGAAGAGCTCAAGCTTTTCAACTTTATTAGGGACAGGTGGCTTGTTGTTTCTCCAGTAGAAGAGGGAACTGAATTTTCGTATTTTCTACATTTTTTTTTAATTTTATTTTTGAAAATATGTGTGTATTAGGGTGCTAGGAGAGACAAATAAATACAAGCATACATCTAAAATTTGGTAAGAAATTATTACCATCTGAAATATATAAGTCCGGAATTAACTGTCAGGAATTAACGGATGTCAACAGAATCTTTTGTGGGTCTAGTGCTTATTTTCTGGTCAATAATAACACCAAACCAATGATCTGTGCCATGTCATGTGTTCAGGCACAGGGTACATGCTTCATCATCCTTACATCTCTTCATCCCCAACCAAGTACAAAACAACCATGCCCTCCTAGACGACATATTTCTACAACAACCATCTTTAACTATGGCGCATGCAATGCGCCTAGGTGAAGTGCCCCCAGTCTTCAAAATCGACCTCTCTCTCCCTCCATCACAAAGATACATACACGTCGCAAGACAATACCGCAACCACCTAGTTTCCATAACAGGTCTCTTCGACCAACTCATCGCCGATGCCCTCCCCAAATCCCTCTTACCATGGATCAAAAGACTATCACGCATTTTCCTGCGCCGCCTATACACCCATGAAGAAACAGAAGAAATCAAAGGCATCAGCCGCGCCACAGGAATAGAAATGTACCTATTAGTCTCATTCAACGTGCTCCTGGACCTACTAATGGGCTGCACAAGCGGTGCAGCACTAACAAAACTCGACAACCCCGCAGGGGGGCAATCGCAACCTCGACTTCTGCATTTCCGAACCCTAGACTGGGGTATGGACGAGCTCCGAAAGTTGCTCGTCTGCTTTGAATATGTCCGCGGACCGGATTATGACACCGTCCTGGCGACGAACATCACCTACATTGGCTTTGTGGGCGTCTTAACCGGTGTCAGGAGAGGACTTAGTGTTTCTCTGAATTTTAGACCGAACCATGATACGAGCAGTTGGCTGCGTAATTATCGCTATTATGGAAGTCATTTACTTGTGCTTCTCGGAATGCGACGGTCTGTATCCTCTCTGCTAAGGAGATATATCATTCCTTCGGATGGGTTGTCTCCCCTGCCCGCTCTCGACGATGTCTGGCCGACGGTAATGCGGACACCGTCTACAGCTGCATACCTGATCTTTTGCGATGGGGTCGATGCAGTGGTCCTGGAAAAGGACCACCGGACAGCTCACGTAGAACGACAATCTTCTTTCATCGTCGCAACAAATAGTGACCATGTCACTCCCTCAGCGACAGAAAACAGACACCAAGACGACCATGTCGGTGCAGCCCTAGGGACAGGGGTGGCTGTCTCGGTCGTGGACCTCATCGAAGACAGCGAAGAACGGAGGAAATTCATGCAAGCGCACTGGGATAAGAAAGTCAGGCAGGCGAGGAAGGCAGCCTTAATCCCAGAATGTACATACTCAACTGCCCGCCAAGATCCTATGAGACGCACTCGCGCGTCTCAGAGACGGGGAGGCCGATCGGCATATGAAATCATTCCGAATGGGTCCTCTTTGCATACTCCTAGCTCGGGTACGTTGGTGGACTCCCAAGTCACAGCTACGCTTCAGGAAGTTATTAAATGGACGACAACATACCCGACTACTAATGAGATGACCCATTTCGCGGCGGTGATGGATCCCACGGAGGGAAAGGTTGTCTGGATTAGGCGGTACTTGGAACCATTAGAATTCGATACACACTATTAAATTTTGGTTTCAGATATTGAAAGGGCATTCTTGATAATTAGAACAAAGCCGCTATAGGCAAGCATGTGGTCTAGGAGAAATGCACTTTATATAGTTGGTAGCAGGTAAAAGCAGCCAGGGATGGCACTATGCCCAAACAGACAATCACTTTACCAAGCCATTTTAAGCGCCCACGAACAGATAGGAACATTAACAAAGCACCCATTTCCAATTCAACTTCAACCCACTTCAGCCAAAGTCATACTCCTGCTTTCTTCCAAGACCTATATATAGATCCCTAGCCCTGTCTATAGGATGTCGAAAGAAACCGATTCCGAGGCTACTTGCCTCCCGACTCTCGCTGAGATCGAGGCCGCGACGGAAGTCATGAGCATTCCAGAGAAGTCCATCAAAGTCGTCCGGGTAAACAAGCATTTCGCAGTCAAATTCGGTCACAGTATACCTCTAGTCGAGGCTGAGAATATGAAGTTTCTCGCAGCAAATAGCAAAGTTCCAGTCCCAAAAGTCTACACAGCCTTCAGGGACCACGGCACCAAGAAGACATATATTATTATGCAATACGTCCATGGCGATACTCTTCAAAAACTATTGCCATCCCTTAACCAGGCTGAAAAGGCTGCAATATGCATCTCGATTAAAAACGCGATAACAGAACTGCGGAGTATACCGCCACCAGGTTACTTGGGGATGTTAAATCACCACCCTTATCTTGACGGGTTGTTCTGGACTGAAGGGTTGGATCCTCAAATCTCAGGGCCTTTCGAAAACCAAGGAGATATGAATCTTGCTATTCTCAGGAGACTTCGCCAGACAGAATCAGACCAGTATATCAACTTATTACGGAACATGGTTAACCAGACACTGAAAAACCACCGCACTGTTTTTACCCATGGTGATCTTCAGCCGAAGAATATTATGGTTGAAAGGCTTGGAGATCGTGACGGATGCCCAGAATTTAAGATCACTCTACTGGACTGGGAAAGCGCTGGATGGTACCCGGAGTTCTGGGATTTCTGCAATGCTACAATCGCGTGTAGATTCAAACCCGACTGGCTTGAACTTGTACCTGATATACTGGATCAATATTCAGTTGAATTTCTTATGATGCAGGTGGTGTATACTTCTGTGTACTACTAGGTAGAGAAGTACAAAGTGGATAGAAACAGAGCAGGGTGTCGGGTATGACCAGTAAGCCATGGCTACATAGTTAATTGATTGCTACCTACTGGCACTAACCCATTCCCCCACAGAAGTTCACCCATGGGAAGCAAGCCCCAAATGAAGCAAGTGTATTTACAACGTATTTAGCCCAGTGATTTTGACAAAGATGTCGTCCTGCACAAAGTGCATGCATTAGTGCCTTGTTAGACCCCAAATTCCAACCAGAAAGAAAGAAACGAAAAAGAAAAACAGTACTAACCATCATATCATTGGAATCACCGCTAATGGTAGCCTTTGTCCTGTCGGCGTTGGCGCCACACCAAAAGCGGCCAGTCGCACCATTTTCGATCTGGGCAGCAACCTGGCTGCTGTAGTCCATCAAGGGCATTCGCTCGATGCCGTCCTGGCCCTGTGCCCGTGCAGCAATTGTCTCTTCAATTGGTTTGTACAGAGAATTATCGGGTAACTTGAAATCTCCAAAATAGGTCTGCCCTTGGGTGCGAACCGCACCAGTCGGGATGCACAGAACCTTGACATGAAACGGGATCAACTCCAGCCGAAGTGTATCAGCCATAAGCTCCAGTGCTCGTTTCGAACCGGCATATGCTCCTAAATCCGACAATCAACGTTAATGAATCTTGATTCATTCATGCTGAGGCATAAGAAAAAAAGAAACAAGGAAGGAAAGAAAAGAAAAAGCTACCCATGAATGGAACGTTCACATAGCCAGAGATCGACGTGATGAAAACGATGGAGCCTTGCGTTTTGATCAATAATGGGGCAAAGGCCTTGGTCACTCGCAGTGGCCCCCAAACATTGATATCATAGAGGGCCTTGACTTGCTCCACGTCTTCGTCCAGGTAAGGCATGAAGTGATTGCGACCGGCGTTGTTGACTAGAACGTCTAGGGTTCCGCCTGTCTGAGCCTCAACCGCAGCTACAGCCGATTCAATCTGGCGTGGCTCGGTCACATCTAGCGGCAACAAGGTGACATTCGATAGGCCACTCAGCTTGGTCATCTTGTCGAGATTTCGGGCAGTCGCGAAGACCTGATAGCCTTGCTTTTGGAAAGTCAGTGCCAGGCCAGAGCCGATTCCATCATCGCTACATCCGGTAATTAAAACCGATTTGGGGGACATGTTGTCGGGTTATTGAAGTCACAGGAGGTTGTATGCTTTTGCGATATTGAGCGTTTGGGAGAAAGGAGGAGGAGAAAGAGCACAGATGTCAGGCATTTTAAATTGCTTTAATCGTCCTGTCGCAGGAGCCTGTGCTCAAAGATCTCGTGGGGGCCGTTGTATCTTGACCCTTGCTGATCACTAACAGCCGACTGGTTGACTGACAGGGACAGGGCGTGCTAAGCCTGGTGGCATGGCTGCTTATTGCTTACTACAGCTTACTATTCGTAGCCCCCCGTGTGCCGCATGACTCGACACAATTTCAGGATTCTTTTGTTCTTGATAAGTTCCATTCACAGGTAACTACGTGAACCCGGTAAGAATGAAACCCAACATACACATACATTTAGGGCACAGAAGAAGGGGGGCTGATCTTCCGGTCCGGTCTCTCCAGGAGGGTTCGGCCCGCCCCAAGGAGTGTAAATGACGGACCTTTCTCCAGGGAATCACACGTTTTTGACGCGAAAACACGACCAACAGGGCTGCAGGCAATGATGGGGCCAAAAGTTTAGGCAAAAAAGAACTCTTCAAAGCCCCTACGCTAGTCTGGAGGCTACAAACTGTAGCAATCAATCGTGTCCCTGGAGAGGCCCTTGATCAGCGATGATCTCAAGATTGTCAAGGCCTCAGCCAGACTTCACCACAATCATCTGGCGCCATTCGCCTTCGAATAGTAAGTTTCGCATATATACTCAGACCGGTACGATTGGACCCGGTGCGCGCCTTTCTCAGGTATGGCAGGCCAATGTCCAATCTAGCGGGTTGACATCTTGGATAGAGAAAAAAGATAATATCACAGTAGAATACATATATAGATAGTTTACTAGCTAAGAGCCTTCTTCACTCTTAGTTATATACGTATAATAATATGCTATTTGAGAAAAAAATCAAAGCCCTGGTTATGATTATGTTTCTAGATTTACTAATACTGTCTTATAACCACCGAGTTTAGCTTGGTAGACTACCTCAACTAGACTTAAACCAAGCAACTACAGAGATAAATATAACAGTATTACTTCTGTTCATATATACAATTACTCGAACCTCTCAGAGTAGTAAAAGAGGGTGTTATCTATTATAAGAATAGAATTTTATTCACGGTGATCTTCAGCCGAAGAATATTATGGTTGAACGGCATGGAGATCGTTGACAGATACCCAGAATGTAGGATTAGTCTAGTAGTAGGCTGGAAAAGCGCTGGATGATACCCAGAGTTCTGGGATTTCTGCAACATTACAATCACCTGTAGCTTTCAACCCGACTGGCTTAAACTTGTGCCTGATATACTGGATCAATACCCGGTAGAATTTCTCATAATGCAGGTGGTGTATTCTTCTGTGTTCCATCAACCATCACTACCAGGCTGTAGTCACCCAGGATAATATTAGCTAGTCCTGGTATCGCACAGCAGTACTAACATATTCAAAGTGAGATATTAAAAGAACTGGAGACTGACACTGGCCTGGACGCTGAACATGAATCATTTTCGAGCCAAATCATTAGACGATGACTCGTAAAAGTGGGGCCAACCCCACGCCCTTCAGCAGACATGTGTTGCTCATAAGCTGCTGACTATAAATACCTGCGATATGCTCTACCGGACAAAACGCAAGATCGAACTTTTTTTATCTTTTAAATTATCTAGTCAATACTCAAATAAAAAGAATACCTACCCACTTGTCACTATGGTGAAACTAGAACCTTTCGAAGTCGACCATGTAAGTGGCCTGCCACGCCATGGAGCACCTTTAAGAGAAAGACTGGTGAACTAACACGACCTATCAAAGTGGATTCTGACTCGGGACATCGGTCCCAAGTATAACCTGGCACATTCATACTCTCTCCCTGTAACAATCAATGATCTCAAATCGCTGTCCGAGAATACAGCAGCAGACTATGATATTCTCGCCTCAGTTCAATCCACACCGATGAACTACGGCCCTTCCTTCACTGGATTGGAGCAGCTACGTGAAAACATTGCCAACCTATACTCAGATGATTCTTTAATACCGGTATCATCTGACAAGATCCTGACGACCCCTGGCGCATCACTGGCGAACTTCATTGTGCTCTTTGCATTAATTGGCCCCAGCGATCATGTTATCGTCCAGTATCCCACCTACCAGCAACTATACTCCCTCCCAGCTTCCCTTGGAGCGCAAGTGAGTCTATGGAAGGCAAAGGAAAACGACAATTGGAAGCTCGATATTGAGGAATTAGAACGCCTCATCCAGCCAAACACAAAAATGATCGTTCTGAAGTAAGACCTCATGTTCTCCCATGCACAATGTATAACGTCACATGAACTGATCAACCCTAGCAATCCACAAAATCCCACCGGCGCAATCATCCCCAAATCGAGCCTCGAAGAAATCATTCGAATCGCCAAAAACCACTCTATAACAGTCTTCAGTGACGAGGTGTATCGGCCCAGCTTCCACTCCATATCTCCAGGAGACCCGGACTACCCGCCCTCAGCCCTTTCCTTTGGTTACGAAAACACAGTCGTTACCAGCTCCTTATCAAAAGCCTACGCCCTCGCTGGAATTCGAATAGGATGGATTGCATCCCATAGTAAACCCATCCTCGACCTCTGTATCAATGCTCGCTCCTACGCCCTCATAACAGCCAGCCAAGTAGATGAACAGATCGCATCGTTCGCACTGAGCCCCTCCTGCGTCCACAATCTGGTGAAACGTAACACAGTGCTAGCAAAGAATAACCGTGACATTGTTCAATCGTTCATCGATGAATTTTCGTCGAGCTGTCAATGGGTGAAACCTGTTGCCGGCCCAATCGGGTTCATCAGATTTGCCAGGTCTGGTCATCCGGTAGACGACGTGGCATTCTGCACAAGACTCCTTGAGAAGAAGGGCGTGCTCCTCGTGCCGGGGAGAAAATGCTTCGGGGATGGGAAGAATTTCAGCGGCTACGTACGTCTTGGGTTTGGTGGGGATCCGGAGGTTCTGAGGGCTGCGTTGGGTGCTTTGAGGGAGTTTATGCGTGAAGATTACGAATCCTTACCTCTGGCAGATTGATCTTCTATCTGCTTTTGATTTTACAAGTTAGGTTTTTCTCTTATGTTTATTCATGCACTGCTGTATGCTCGTTAAATGCGGTACTTTTGTGCTTGTTTGGATTAACTTTACCTATACATCAGCCGTGGCTTTTGCAAATGGCTACTGATAACATAAACCCAGAAATTCAAACGCAAGAAATTAATTAACTATGAGTCTTCACGCTAACAGCAACAACCCATACAAAGCATACAATTAGTCCCCTCAAGAATGATAGTAGTACACCTGGTCCCCAAAGAACCCCAAATCATGTGATCGCCCAACCCTAAGACAAATATCAACAAGCATCAACCTCACGAGATCTTCATTTACAACAAGCACAAAACCCCAACTCAACTAACTCCCCACTCGCCCACTCCTTCCTAAAAGCCCCCTCCTCCTCCCCAATCCAAATATCCACTGCCGAACCCTCCCTCCCATCCTGCATCCTAACCCTAGGCTGATAATCAGCCACCACCGTCCCCTCCAGCTGCCCAATATCTCCACAGCTGGGATCAACATGATCCGAATCCCCAGGAACGGGATTCCCCTGGCCAACATTAACATACCCTACGACGTTCACACGGACACTGGGCAAGACATCCCGGAGCGCGCGAGCGATGTCAACGATCTGCACAGGATACTGCATGGACTGCGAGTTCCGTTCCCTCGGGCCAAAAATGAAGGCGACGGGCTCGTCTTCGTCTTTAATAATAGGGTTGCATGCCGGGGGTCCTTCGAGGAAGGTTCCATCGGAAGTGAGGAAGTGGAGGCCGTGTTTTAGCGGGTGTAGGACGTCGTTTTCGAAGATTACCGGTTCGCGGATTAGAATAGTGCTCTGGGAAAAGGACGGGCCGTCCCGGAAATGAGAGTTGTAGATGCCTTTCTCCGTGATGATCATGACGCAGGTGCCGCCGTGCAGGTTCATCACGCCTGTTGTGAAGGCTTCCTCACCGAAGGGGGTTACGTTGGAGGAGGCTGGGCATCCGTGTGGAAGGGGGTCCATTCTACGGACCAGGGTGCCGAAATGGGACCAGAATGATCCTCGTCTTTCTGTGGCGTGAGGTTCCATGTTGGAGAAAGGTAGAGAGATCGAGGGAGGGCAGTTGGATATGGAAGGTTATGGATAAGTAGCTAAAGCTGTAGCAAAGAGCGAAATGGTATCCTTTTGGATAGAAGAGCTAAGCTGAATATGAGGCTGTTGTCAGCCTTTTAATATAGCAAATTCCAGTCTAGCTCCATTGTCCTTCTTGTCAATATTCAACTATGGCCTTTGTTCTTTGAGCATGTTGCTAGATCCATGGCAGTTATTGTGGGATTGTTTGCTATCTTTATTGTCGTCCTTTATCTCAATGTCGGCATAATTCATGAAGGTAGTCATTCTGCCGTGCACACTTGACTACCCGTGCTTTCTACTATAAAGCTGCATGGCTTTTTGAAACGGCTTGCAAACTTCTGCATATCATCTAGATCAGATACAGCTAGCTGATGAAGCTATGAATTGAAGATATAATGTCTACATCCCATTAACTATTCTTTATTCATCTTGTTCAGAGGCCCGAAACAAGGTTTATAAGTTTGCAACAATGAACAAACCGGCAAAGTCTATCACAAGCTTGATCGTGGAGGCGTTGAATAATGAATCCATAGATGAAGTGGATGAACCGAAAGGGGGACACTGTTTCACTGATACACCCTTTTAATTGGGCCGATTAGTCGTTTACAGTGTTCTTGGACACCAAAACAACGATTAAATATCCTTGGTTCTTTGTATAACCTCATAAGACGACAACGTAGGGGGCTATGTCTCCAGATAATTGAACAAGATAGTGTTACAGTCTTCTCAAATCGAAATAACTTAATTCCTATACCAAACAACCTTTATCATCATATATACCATAATTCAACCTACCCCTCTTCACAAAAACCCCAGCAATATACGGCATGCAAGTCCTCCCAAACCACCTCTCGATCTCCACTGACTCCCATCCTCCATCCTCTTCCGCCGCGCCCCGCAACGCCTTCTCCGTATCCCGATTCATCCGACAATCCCCAATATACCAGCTCCAGCCCAAGAACCCATAAACGGCCTGCATAGCCCTCGCAACAACAGACCCCTTCGCCGTACGCCATGGATTAACCACATGCTCCACGACGAGAATCTTCCCACCAGGCTTAAGCAAAGCATACAGTTCCCGAGCAGACTGTTCCAGATCTGGCACAGAGCAAAGCACACGGACGCAAAGGATCGTGTCGAAGACACCACCGGTCGCCTGGTCAAGCGCGGCAGCACCAGCAGGCAGGAGGTCCTGTTTCTGGAGAACGGGGACGAGTTCCGAGGCGGCGACACTACAGGGAAGAATGTGGTACTTCTCACCTATGCCTTCGGCGTCGGCTCTAGATCGCAGTGCTGCGTGAAGACCGTGGCAGGGCTCAGCGCCGTAGATTGCTTTGATAGCTGGCGAACGTAGAAGGGGCATTTGGGTTCCTGTTCCCGGCCCGACGTCTAGGACTAGGCCTGAGGCGTGGGACATGACGGGCGGGATTAGATCCGAGGAACGTTGGACACCCGTTTGGGTTGGTGGGGGTGGGGGTTGGGATTCGACGGCGTCTTCAAGGTTCACCGCGTAGCGTATTAACTTGGGTTATCTGATTGAGTTGATGGTCGAGCAACTCACTGCTAAAGGAGACCCAGAATCGGCCGAAAGCTTCATCACGGAGCCTCCCGGATTGGAGTAGTGGAGCGAGGATCTGGCCTCGTTTAAAGACCGCTTCCAGGTTCACTTTGATATGAACTATGGGACATATTAGCTTCAGCTTACTAGGAAACCGGTAGGGAGGAAAATTGTGTGCATATGTGTGTCTACACCATCGGTTATGTGGCGAGGAACTGCTGTATATGTGCAAGACAATCTTTCTACGCGCGTAACACGCAATCCGTTGGACTTACATGGTATGGCCCAGAGTAGCAGTTGGCCTGGTTCCAGTAGTGATGTGAGCCACACCTTAGTGGTAGGCTCATTGATGGAAGCCATTGTTTCTCAATGAACAGGGAACCGGCAATCTATAACAGGCGGTTCCGGTTGAACGATCTGTTTGAACAATGGCAAGAGAAGTGGGATTGGAGATGGGATATGAAATAGAAAGTTGAAAGATGAAAGATGGTTCTAAATTGGCGATGCATGACTAATCCTCCCCGCTAACTACCGCATCGATCAGATTCAACTACTCCGGACAGCTTACAGGAGATCTTATCCATGCACGGTACAGTGGGAATCAAACAGTATGTGACTCCACTATATGGTTTCGAATTCCTCAACGGTGTCTAGATCAGTTCCTGACATATACAAACAGAGTAACACGGACACATAGCGTCAATGGTCAATCTTGCTGCCATTACAGATTGCAGACTCGATATCAAGATGTGAGAAAAGAAAAGTCAAAAAGATAATGGACTGATGCGAGATGCACACAGGATGGAGGTGGTAGCAATAAATAAGGACCAAGCCCAAGTGGAACGAACGGCATAAATATATCAGCTGGACAATGAGTATCAACAAAGGAAAGGACAAAATCAATAATTCATTTTTGCAAATATCACGAATGAATGACAAGAACAGTCCAGACACCTGAGAGGGGATAGATGCCAAAGGGACCACATCCCCAAGATTAATGACTATACGTAACACGAGGTTCCAAGAAAGTATGCTCGAAGGGTGGCAACTACCGAAAAGCAAAGGGAGTCAGGAAGAAAATGCTAACACGTGCGCTCATGAGATTCGCATGCTATGAGGGTCGAGGAGGGCAGAAATGAAGGAGATGCGAGCGATGTATAAAGAAGGTCCATGGAGAGAGGGGCGCATCTTCACAATACAGGTCGACAGGCTCAGTGATGAGAGTGATGAGAGTGATGCCGGTGAACACGCGGGCTGTACCGACTTGTCCTTGAGAGTGAGCTGACATCATGCTTGCCTATATTACAAGTGTTAGCGGATAGGTCGCAACGGTCCAACTGGGCATGCTCTTACCATCGCAGCAAGCACGAACGTTCTCAAGTCGATCTGTCTCTTGTTCTTGCCTCTCCATCATCTGCCGCAGGTCCTCCTCACTGTCACGGCCGTAGACACTGCCATCATGGATACTAGATGTCGCATAGCCAGGGTGGCCCTTTCGGCCGAAAGAGCCCTTGAGCGTAGTATTGAGAATGGTACTGAGTCGAGACGTGGAACTGTTCCTTTGATCGGAATAGTGAGACGGTGTGCTCAGAGCCGGAGAAGCGCGACCGGGGGTCCCTGTGCGGCGCAGAGAGAGGGCAGAACCCGCTCGCTGTTTCGGCCAATTTCGGGTCGTGCGACTCTGAGATGAAGAGATTGACAACCGTGGTCTCTGGCGCGAATGAGATCCTGACCGGAACCCCGGGTTGAATTCATCAATATCTTCCAGATCATTGGTCTCCTCGCCATTTTCCGACCGCAGCAAGAGATACGAGAGTGCATTGAACCAGGTCTCGTGCCTCTGGCTAGTAGTCGCGGTGAATCTGATCCGGCGACCAGGGCTGACAACTTCCAAGCTCCTGCAATGAAGACCGGGAGGGTATGGGTTGTCATCGGCGACAACTCTCACGGCTTCAATAGGAACGCTCTTGGTTTTACGCTCCGACTTGCCAGCGCTTTGAGGGTCCTGCTCACTCCAATACAAGGTGCGGGTATATGGATGAACCCAGAAGTAGCGACGGTGCCTAGTGTTGGAAATCTCTCCGGAAACTGTTTTACGTGTATACTTCCAAAGGAATTCTCCAATCATAGTCTGGGTGATGGCTTGAATCATGCGTGGATCTGTGCCGGAGCCATAGCCATAAGGTCCACTAGCCGGAGTGGCGTGTGCATTGAACCGCTCATCGATCTCGGATGCAAACGATGAGACCGAAGACCTCCGAGACATCTGGCTTTCGCACCTCGCTCTGGCCCGCGAGGTAGAAGACCTGACGGAGCCAACCTGAGCGGCTGGATCATTTGGAGTGCGCGGGCGTGGAGCACGGAAAGCGGAAGCTGGAGCAAGAGGGGGCGCCATGAGACCCGGTGTGGCCGGTTGTTGATCAAGCGATTTCTTCTCGGCAGCCATAACAGCCTCTTTATTTTCAGTAGGCAACGGGGGATGGCTGTGGGCAGTAGAAGCCTGGCTGGCTGCGCTGCCTGGACGCCAGTTGAGAGATGCGGCGGATGACTGATGCTGGGGATGGGATCGCGCCCTTGGCGTGGCAGCGGGTGAATTGCCTTGCTCCTTAGCTTTGTCACTGTCGGGGGGAGATAAAGGCCGGGCCGTAACACGGTCCATGAGAATCTGGTCGATTTGCTTAGAAGACAATATCGTCTGAGCGCCTTGATCTGCCTGGTTTGATGATCGCCGTCTTGCATGGCGTGGGACAGCATTGCCGGAGATAGCGCTCAGAGGCGAGGGGGCATCCTTCTTCTGGCGAGCTGTGTCATAATCAGGGCTATCATTCGCTGCATCTTCGACAACCACAATTGGCAAATGCTCTGAAGTGGACTTGTCGACCATAACACCTCTCGTTTGCAAGGGCGGTGCGTTCTCGTCTGATGGCAGGACTGCGGGAATGATAGCCGCAGTTGGAGCGGCCTTGACAGGGAGTGTTTCGACGGAGCGGATCGTGGAAACTGACAATTGCGGAGACGCAGGGACGGGAACGTCGCGCTCCTTGGGTGCAGTAGGCTCGGTAGATTCGGGTGGTATAAAGGTTACTGTCAAATCTGGCACCTCCGGCTCTGGAACTGGTTCTGGTAGCATCGCCGTAATAGGTTCTGTGTGCTGTGAGAAGATTGTTGAAACCGCTAGGCCAGGGATTTCAGTGTTCATAGCACGCTCCGCGACTGAAACCGAAGGCTCGGGCACCGGCTCTGGAAGAGTCGCCAATACAGGCAAAGTCTGCTCAGAGAAGACTGTCGAGACTGCCAGGTCCGGAACCTCGGTGCTCATGGCACGCTCAGTGACAGAAACCGGAGCTTCAGGCTCAAGCACAGGTATTGGAACGGGTTCGGGAAGTGTCGCCAGAACAGGCTCGGTATGCTCAGAGAATATTGCGGAGTATGCCAGCTGTGGAATGTCTGTGCTCGTTGCCTGCTCTGCCACGGAGACCGAAGGCTCAGGCACGGGCTCAGGAAGCGTTGCCGGAACAGACTGAGTTTCCTCAGAGAAGATTGAGGAGACAACCACTTCCGGTACGTACTTCGGCTCTGGCTCAGGTAGCTTGGCAGAAACGGGTTCTGTATACTGCAAGGAGATGGCTGATAGAGTCATCTCTGCGGGTTTGAAAATGGGTGCAGCGATCGGCTCGGTTGAGCCTCCCACAACGTATGACATACTCAACTCAGGGAGCTTAGGCGCTACAGGAACGGTGTCCTGAGTAGAGATAGGAGAAACTTCGAGTTGTGGCAGTATAGCTGCGGGAACATTGAGCTCCCGCTCCGCGTCTGCATCCGAAATCAACTTCGAAGTGGCTGGCACACTCGACAGATGATCGCCATTCACTTCAGAAGACGTCTGAGGGGAGGCCCATTGTGTTCCAGCATGCACCAACTCTGGTTGCTCCCTCATGCCAGCAGTGATATCGGCATCCGACGTCGACTTCTTAGGTGTTGCAAGCACATTCGAGGCATTCTCGTCGTTCACGACTGCTGGGATGCTTGGTTCCCAAGGATCAGTCATGACACCGGAGTCAACCATGGCAGGCTTGGGTCTGGTGTTCAATGTGGCCTGGGATGATCTTCTCGAATCAGGCATCGAAAGGATACGTGGGGTGCAATCGGCATCGTGTTCAATCGGTGGGCCGAACTCCTCATCCTCCTCACCGTCAAGTTCTGCGAGTTCTGCAAACAGGCTCTGGCCTTCGGAATCCCCTGGTGTCTGTGTGAAGCTGGTTGCCGGGGACTCGCGTGAACTAGATGGTCGACTACCGGAGGCCATTGGAGCCTCTCCAGAAGGTCGAATCCTCCTCATCACACTCCTCTTGTTCCTGAGACGGTGCCGAGGAGTCGAAGTTCGACTTGGCGAAGGGAACATGCCATCAGAGTCCTCATCTTCTTCCCCTGAAGTGGAGGCAGTGCTCTGGTAGGATTTCCGGTCACGAGCTTTTGCCATGGTTAGGGATGAGACACGAGCACGAGGTGTTAACTGAATACGGTCCTCTGTTTCAGTTAGCTCATCAGTATCCGTACTGTCATCAGCCATGCTCTCGACGCCCGTCTGGAAGGCTTCGCTTTCTGTGGCCGCCTCCCGCTCGTTGGCGGTCTCAAAAGCATCGTCTGCTTCAGTAGCAGTATGATAGGCATCACTGGGCTCGTCTAGAGACTGCAGTTCGGGGCGGCTACGATAAGATCTCAGAGCTGCCTTGTGCGATGGACTTGTGTCAGTGGCATGGTCTTCCCAATCTGTTTCATGAACCTCCTCGATCTCTGTCATTCCTCTCCTTCCAGCACCGAGAAGGTTTGGTCTTGCAGCCTTGCGGGTGTTATCGGGCTTGGTCTTCTGACGCTTGTTGGATGGCCCAGCAGGGGCAACAGCTTCGCGACGTTTCTGTTCAATCTCGTCGCGCGCTTCTTGCAACATGCGCTTGAGCTCAATCTTTTCGGTTTTCTCGCGGTGAATGGTGCTCTTCAGATTCTGGATCATACGGTGAGCATGGCCCAAGGAACTCCGTAATGTTTCTGTCTCCAGTTGGTTGTGTCGTGGAGTGAACTTATTGGGCGATGGCGGCGGTGAGTTTTCCGGTGTCCCTCTACCATCCTCATCAGAGTCATCATCCCGGTGGACTTCCCGCACGGTCTCCGCTTCTTGTTGTCGAAGCCGCATAGCGACTGCTCTAGCAAGCTCTTCGTTCTGGGAGTTCAACTCTTCAACCTTCTTCTGCAATGCAAGCCTTTCCGCATCGCCTGAAGTCAAGTTCTGCGCAGGAGATGGATTTCAGCGTCGTTTGCTTTTTGTGCCGCCGTCTGGTCCTCAATCAATTTCGTATTGGTTTGTTTCAGATCCTCCAACTCTCGCTCCAGGGTGCTCTTTTCCGTTGTAACAGCACCCAGGCTGCTGTTGAGTCTACTTTCGCGATCGGCAGCATCTTTCACCGCAGACATGAGCTCACGGGTCTGAGTCTCCAACGCCCAGTTTTCGTCCTTGTAACGTTCTTCGCTCTCGTCTAATGCCCGGATCCGCTGCGTATACCCCTCTGCCTCGATTTCAAGCCTTGACTTCTCCAAGTTCACAGTTCTCAGGGCCTCCTCGCGCTCCGCAAGCAGTGCCTGCAACTGACGAACCTGGGCTAGAAGGGAGGTGGAGATCTCGGTCGCAAACTCGATATCATGGACACGGCTCGATGGTTGGTTGCGCTGTTTTCGCGATGGCACGCTCACCTTGCTGGGAGAGTTGGTGGCTTGGCCAGCAAACAAGGCGGGGTTAAGTGGTGACTGAACCTCATATTAGCGCTCCATATAGTGTGCCGGACTGGCAAATTGTATACCTTCTGGTCAAGTGAGGGGGTCCCCAGATGACCATCATCACCACCCGCGAGACGTTTTGGCGCAAGGAATGCCCGCGCTGTCTCTCGTCCAATTTCCCTGTATTCTCTCTCCAGGTCCACGAGTTTCCGCTGCAGGTCCGGTCCGATCTGGCTCGCTTCTTGGTGTTGCTCGACTTCTTTCAACTTGTCCTCGAGCTCCTTCTGCTGTTCAATGAGCGCTGTACCTAACTTGGATGCCTCCTCCAGTCTGCGCTCTGTCTCCGCCAAATGGGCCTCAAGGGCCCGTTTCACTTGTGCTGGCGAAGATGCATCCAGGCTGAACAATTGCGTATCGAAAGATGAATACCTATGCGATTCGCGGGGAACCACCACCTCGGTGGGGGAAACAAAAGGATCATCCATGATGAAGATGAGTCAATCCCCACTCTGCCCTCCGTCCGTAACACCGTTAGATATGACGGACCGGGAAACAATCAAGCGCCAAAGAATAATTCGTAAGTGGTGCCTGTTTCAGCGATGAGGACACGGTTGTCGTCGAAAGCCCAGAAACTCGTCGCCTCGTTCGTCGTGTCCTTTATCAAGCCAAGGTCATCATCTGACCTGCACCGGAATGGTTGATCTGATATACCTCCTTGCGCTCGGATGATTTAGCAAGCCGACCAGCGACGGAATGGTCCACCGTTACTATGTATCGAAGGTGAAGGTGGGTAGAAGACAGTGCGCAGCGTTGGTCGGGGGCGGTTGCTGTGAGACGACCGGGTCACGTTGATGGATAGTAAAGTGGGTGATGAACCGATCGAAGAAAGGGATGTTGCGTCGAAGTCGCAGAGGCTTTCTGTTTGTTTTGGAAGAGTTCCGAGGATGGGGGGGTCTCCTGTAGCGTCTAGTCAATACCAACGCGCAGTAGTCGTAGACGTAACCTTGTGAGTGCCGGGTGAACCAACCACAACGGACGGGCGCACGGGAGGAGTCAGTGATTGATGACTTGTACCAAAACAGCCGAAAAAGGAAAGTCAACAAGAGCTGATCAATTCGGGATTAAGGTGCGACAAGTCGCGCGACGCTGTGCGGCGCATATAATATTATTATACGATAAGTGAAGTATGGAAAAAGGAAAAAGAAAAAAAGAAGGGAGTGACAAAGGGAATGTAATGAAGGAAGGTAGTTAAGAAAAAGATAAAGAAAGAAAAAATAAATAAGAGAAAATAGAAAAAAGAGAAATCGAGGTAAGGAAAAGAGAGAGATGTTCCAAATACAGCCGATTGAACAACGAGACGAGAACCGACTCGTTGAGCGGGGGAAGACAAAAGAGAGGGAAAGGAAGAACGAGAGAAGGAGAGGAAAGTGTGGGCAGGGGGAGATGCGAAACTGGGGCCGTGCGGGAAAGACAGACAAGACCGACTATTTGGATCAGGTACCGATTCTACTCGTACTAGAAGCAAGTCAGGTATTACTTTCATGTACCAGGTTCCTCTCGCTGCAGGTACTGAGAGAGAGAGAGAATAAAGTAATTGGGTACAGTGCCTCTGGATACGAGAATCATAAGTGAGTCAATTAATTAAATGAATAATAATAGAGGGGGGAGGCGAGGCACTCCCACTCGATCTGCCCAGGAACAGCTACGACGTATTTAGCTACCGAGCAGTAAACTAGGTTGTCCTCGATCTGATACGTAACAACTCTGAGTTGTTGCAGGGCTAGTTAATACGGAGTACAAGGCGTTTATTAAGGGTATTAAGGGGAAAGGACAATCCATTATCCCGGGGTGGGAATGCTGAATGACATCTCACAGCGATCTTGGTTAACCTCTGTCTCACGGTCGATCTTCCGGCTATCCTGGGAAGTTTAATTGTCTTGCAACCTCAGCATCTTTACTACTTTACTACTAGATCGCAGACTTGTCCAACGGTTCATCCCGACCTTTTGGGTTGCCAGACCAGATTTGGGAAAAAATTACAGCTTAACCCAATTGAAGCATCGCGTATGTAGTAATGTAATAATCGGTAAGACACTTGCTCGTTTGGGCACGTCGCTGTTTGTTGGGTTTGCATTTCCGCCTCTGTTGGGTCAGCCTTGGTCGCACGTGATATAGAGAAAGCTTCATTTGTCACCAATCACGTGGGATACACCAAATCGGGAAGCAGGAACGCCACCACCGCGAAGCAAGGTCACTTTATATTACAACCCAATTATCCGACTTTCTCAGTTACAACCTCGCCTTGACATATCCGACGTTTGCAGTTAAGGGGCAATTGTGCATATTGCCACCAACTCGCTATCACCATACTTTATACCAGCGAACTGCAACCATGACGGACGAAACCCAGGTCGCCGACGAGGTCCCTCAGTTCTCCTTCAAAAAAAGATCAGCTAAAGCCAAGGCCAATTTTCGCAAGAAACCCGAGGCACCACCACCTGCTTCGGACTCCGATTTCACGTCATCTGATGATGAAGAGGGCCGCAGAATTAAACGGCGACGCAAGAGCGCAGCAGTGACAGCCTCGTCTACGACCAATGCACCCCGGAGGGACGGAGAACAACCCGTTACGGCCACACCGACTCCATTGGCATCCAGCAACGATGCCACCAAGCATTCCAATTGGTACGATGACGAGTTAGATGCAAAGAATCTCTTGGGGAATACACGGGCCCAGCCAACGTCGAACGCCCCCTCTGCATCGGATGGCACGTACAAGGGCGCGGCCAATTACCAATCTTTCATCCAAAAGAATCCCGATGCCCCAACAAAGCAATTCGGACCGATCAAAGCCCCTACCAACATTCGTACTGTAACATTTATGGATTATACGCCAAATGTCTGCAAAGACTACAAACAGACGGGGTAAGTTGAACTCTTGCCAATCAGGTTCATTTGAAATTTTATATCTAACGATAATTTAGCTGGTGCGGTTTCGGGGACTCGTGTATCTACGCTCATATTAGAGAAAACGTCTTGCAGGGCTGGGAATTGGATAAAGAATGGGATAAAAACACCCAAGGAAAGAAACAGGATGGGAAAGTCGTCTCCCAACGTGGGAGTGACAAATTAAAGGACGATGACGATGACGATGAGGAGCTTCTCGAAAGCATCCCATTCGCCTGTATCATCTGCAAGAAGTCATATCAGAACCCGATTGTCACCAAGTGCGGACATTATTTCTGCGAGTCTTGCGCCTTACAGCGATATCGGAAAAATCCTTCATGTGCCGCATGTGGAGCTGGCACCGGTGGGGTGTTTAACACCGCGAAGAAGCTGAATCAACTATTGGACAAGAAGAGAGAGCGTGCAAAGAAGCGCCGGGAGCAAGCCATAGCCGATGGTGAAGAAGTCAGCAGTGAAGAAGAGGAAGAGGCCCAAAACGTTTAGGGCAAGAAATCAATGGACGGAATACGTATGTGATCTTAATTTATGGAGGCAATGAAGTCATGTCTATTGCAGCAGGTCTGCAATCTATGTATATATACTCTCGCGGCTGCTCTAGGTTATCAGCATTGAACAAGAGTCAGCTTATGAACAAGGCTCAAAGTTGGAACACCACCAACTACGTCGAGTACTCAACATCGCGGAGGTTCGTCCTCTAACTAATCATGCACTAAGGACCGATATCTGCACAAGTCAGACGAAACAATACTAAGTCTTGACTTACTCCATTTCCTAGTAGATTGAAGACCTAATATTGTATATTTTCCAGCTGTCTCTCATTTCTAGGATAGTCCTATTGCCCCATTGTACCTTAAGAGATAGATTAGTACCCAGTCTAAGTAGTGTCGCGCAGTCGAGCCATCCCAAGAGTCACTCAGTCAAGATTTCCCCATAACCAGCTACTTAGCACATGTGGCATACCTACACTGAACACATACCCTGCTCAACGGCCTCATATATGACTCTTTCCGAGACGTATTCATTTGATACCTCAGGCCAAGCTCTTCGACTTCCCTGCTCCCAGCCAGACAAATTCACTCTTCCCAAATTTCAACACTTACCCGATGGGTACAGCGTCCTAGAAGTAACACTCTCGTTGGTAGACAATCGCACCGCTTTACACTCCCTCCAATTCCCGAGCGTTCATGTCCAAAGGCATGGAACCAATGAGTGATGCTCGATCAGTCTTCTTGTAGCGGCAATGTTCGTTCCACTTCAGTGTCATCTGCCCTCCCATTGGAGAGAACCTCAATTGCTGCCGACATTCGGCCCTCAGGTCTTCTCCACATCCGCAGGCGTTATGTCATCTGGCGTGCAGTCGCCGTTTGGCCAGAGGGTAGGTAACATCCTATCGAGCGTTTTCGGGTCAGTTTGTCTCATCTTGGAACAAAATCTTGGTGATAGCTTCTCGAAGGCGTCGTTTCTCAGTGAGACCGTGGAAGCGAAAACAGAAAACGATGAGATGGGATCTCGGCCATTCATTTGGTAGCCGTGGATAATCAGGTCGATTCGGGCCCACACAAGCAATCCTTTGCAGAGATCATTGAGGATACTGTCCGGCTGTATCTGATCGCCATTGTTTCTTTTGTGGTAGCCACAATCCTCATCAATGGTGCGTTGAACGGGAAAGGGAATACGTCCTATTTAGTTAGATCCATGAGTGACTGTTGCTCTGGTGGACAAAATGATACTTGAGTTAAAAGGACGAGGCCCAGAGAAAAAAGGGAGGTATGAAGACCGAACAGCTGTATATGGTTTCAGACGTCACAGTAATAACTAATTTTAGAGCCCTCGTTTCGCCATCCATGTTGGTGAACAGTATAAATTTGGAACGGGGCGAACACTAAATGTGACCCTCCACGTAGGTCATCACATCACAGATCTGGATGGCTTCGGGAACAAATATGATCGGGCGTCTGAGAAATGCCAGCGCAATCCCTGCAACAATGTCATTTTTCCATGAGCCTGTCACAAATCCATATCGGGTGCCCCTTTCCACTTCCGATAAGCGTCTATGCCCACTACCCCATTATTAGAGGCAGGAGATATGGACAGGTGATGAGCGGCCCAGATCGTCTTGTTTGCCTTCTGCGCGGGTCAGAGATGAGCGGTTTCCCGTGCCTGGCTAGCTAACCTAGTAATGATCACTAAAGTAAATTGAGATAAGCTCACCCTGCAGGGTTCGTTTGTGTTTCGTTGGCTGAGGGTTATTCTCGTTTGTCAGACATTAAATCATCGGTAAACAGCAAACTGTCAGAGAAAAGTATCACGTCGTATCAATAGCGCGGCACTTTCTCCTTGAGAGATATAGAAGGAGTTAATAAAAGCCATTCAATGGTGTCGAGTACTATAACATGGACTCTGGATACATAATAGATCATGTATGATATTTAACTGATGCTATTAGGACGAGCGATAGTAGTGGGGATGATGCATAATTTTAGAAGTGAAAGAGCACCCAGAATAAGCACTAACTAGTATGAGTGTGTGCTCAGGAAGTGGTTAGGACCTTCATGGAAGCGCCGTATGGGCCAACTAGACTTCCAAGTTAGAGAAAAACAGTTCTCTACTGTAACCTGAAAACTAATTTATTCTGTTTTCTCAATCTTCTCTTGGTTCCCCTCCCTCTCTCCTCTCTCTCTTTCTTGTATGCGTAGGTCTTTTAGTACCAAAGTTAAATAAAATGTCTGAGAGCCCGAACCTAGGGCCAGACTCTAGGCAACAGGATATAGGGTAGCAGCAGATGATGGTACCTAGGGTTTATCATGACCGAGACCACATGTCAATGGCTGCCTGTCTTGAGCTGACACCGGTACATATAGGTATGCCACGTACTTCAAATGTCTTAGTGACCTTTCATTGGCGATGCAGAAATGGTCCATTGCCATGGTTAGGAAAAGACATCGACCAAAGTGCTGTGGGTGTGAAATGGGAGCCATTGGCTGACGGACCTGGAACACTTCCGATTTCTGCTACGTATTTCCAACTTCGGTTTGATTTCCCCACTCTCTGAGAAGCCCGTATTTGATGTGGCAGACTGATATGATGGTCCTCCTGAGTCTTGGACTTGGAACGTCCTTCATAGCCAAAGTTAACTTCGGGACGCCACGTGCGGTCCATGGTTCTGTCAGCCAATCAGGGCCTCCCATTGGATTTAAGCTACGAAACGCTTCTATTGGAGGTTCCAACGTTCTTTCTTCGTTTCAGAACCACCGTAGCTTTGCCCCATGGTCAGTTGTGGCGGTGTTTGTATCCCAGTTCTTGTCAGGGGGTTCAGTCTTTGTCCCACTGGCAAACTTCGAGTCCAAGTTCAAGGGTCAGGGTGTTGTTTCACTAACTTAAGTGGCAGAAGATCAAAGAAACCCGCCTGCCGTGGTAGCTTAAAGTGTGCAGACACTCTAATTAAGTGGCCAGTGAGGGGGAAGGATATGACGGGGTTGCAACTAAGCCTGACGGGCCAGAGCCAAGCTTCCCCGCTATGTCCACCAGCACAGCCCCCTGGAGCCTATGATTAGCCCTCCCATGGTGGTGCCCTAGAGCTTAATAGGCACTAACGCGTGGCCTAACAGTGGGTATCACCACTGTCGACAATCCTTTTTTTTCCCTCCCTTCTCGAGCATTTGGAGCGCTCTGACCTCTCACTTCTTAGGGTCATTTGCCATCATGCGGTATATCCCCTCTCGGACCTTTTCCTGTCTTTTGGGAGACCCAGGCGGGCAACTTTTTGAAAACCACCACTTTTATTTGGGAAGGCGGTGATGTGCACATAGTCTAGATGGTGTGTCAGGACTACTAGCAGTAGTAGCTGGCTACTCCCTTTCTTTTCTTCTTTCCAGAACGCTAATTAACATTCCTATCTGCGGGTTTGCCTTGTCTCTCGTCTCTCCTTTTTCATTTGATATTATTCTACTACTTTTTTCTTTTGTCTTTTTCCTTCCCTTACTGAACTTTATGAACTTTAATATACTAACCTCTCTTTCCTTCAATGTCAATTCCTTTTGACACGCTCACTTTTCGAACTCAACTGGCTGTCACCAATATTCAACTACTTCAGTACTTACATGTATACTAGTCGCCAGCGAACATTTAGTATCCTTGTGAACTGCGCTAGAACGAATTCGCCTTAAACATTGAAGCACCTCCCTTGGTGCGCTACTGGGTATCTCTGATATCCGAGTAATCACCGTGTGGCGAACGTCACGCATGAGCTATCCCTCATCTACACCCTAAAACCTTCACAATGAGATGCGGCTTTAGATTAGCATTAGGCGCATGTCTACTGCTCATCGTCCCAATATACCTATTAAAGCTCCGTCTCGAGGAAATCTGCAGCCAGTATCGCGCCGGCGCATACTTGATAGATTGGCTGAACTCCAAAAACCCCCACCATGAGGATCCATCCCACTACCACGCAAAACTGGGAGACAAAGTGATCGTGATGGCCAGGCTGGAAGAAGAGCCCACCGAATGGGTCGAGCAAGAACTTCCTGAGTACGGACCCCCTCCCAACAATGACCAATGGGCTCGTTTGCTAATAGGGGCCGCTTGAAGCTGGCAACGTGCGATTTACATTGTCAACCCGTCGAATAAAACCAAAGCAGATAAACACAAACTCAGTACCACTCTCAATAAAGGCCACGAATCTATGGCCTACCTCACGTATTTGATTGACAATTATGACAACCTTCCTTCCACAATCGCTTTCCTCCACGCCCACCGCGCCGGGTTCTTCATGGCCTGGCATGTCGATGCGCCTTTGCATGATAACGTAGCGGCGATGCGCGCTCTCCAGCTTGATTTCATTCAGCAGAATGGTTACGTCAACCTCCGTTGCAATTGGAACCCCGGGTGCAAGGAGGAACACCGCATCAATCGCCATGTAACGCAACAAGTCTGGGAGGAAGTATTTGAGGGGACCAGCACCCCGCCCCTGAACTCAACCACATCGCCCGCCATCGCCGAGGACCAGTCGTCGGAGATTCGACAAACCCAAAATTTCCTCCAAGCGCCTCAACTTGTCGGCGCAGCATGCTGCGCGCAGTCCGCCGTGTCACGCGGGCAGGTCCTGAAACGACCCCGAGAAGACTACATCAAGTTCCGACAATGGGTCATCGACACAGAGAAAGACGACGCCAGTAGCGGGCGAGTCATGGAGTTCCTCTGGCATGTCATATTCGGCAAGGAGTCCGTATAGTAAGTGGCCATTGCACCAAATTAACTAACGACAACATAACTAACATGATATCTCTTCCAGCTGCCCAGACGAGGAACTCTGCTACTGCCAAGTATACGGCAAATGCTAGTATATTCCCGGTCTCAAGATATATATACTGTACAGCAGCCACATCCGTTCGTATTATATGGGTTTTCTCGTAGATATTTGTGCCATAGACTTCTGTTTATCGCTTTAAGCATGCGTTTCTGGTTAGAAAGGCGTTGTTAGA